GCAGTCCTTCACCCTGGGTCACTGCCATTGCAGGAGGGAGAGGAGATCCCCTTACCTCCTTCCACTTCCTCCTGGGGAACCCAGCACCTCCACCTTCAGATGTATGACCTCATGGGTCTCTCAGGTGTCTTTTACATTGTGTGAATGTCTTCTGTTGGTTTATGAATGTCCTTTTCATTGTATCTTGGGGGGAGAGTCTAAGGGAAGAGCTCACTCTGCCATGGTGCTGACATCACTTCCCCTGGATCTCTTTTTTATGCTGACTTTCCAGACTTGTTTGTTACTTCAAGAACTGACTGCCCATTTGCTCTTGGATATATTGCTAATTCTAATATCAAAACCAGGGTTTCCCCCTACTTTGTTTCCAAAATTGTGAATGGAATTGAAAACAGTTTGATATAATAGAAAATAGCATTTGGACTACAGTTTGGGGTTTGAATACTATCTTTCTGGTTATCAATTTTTGACACTGGAAGAATCACTTAATTCTCTAACTCTTGGATTCCACAACCTCAAAATAGTGCCAATAATAAATGCTGTGTTCCTTACTTGAGAGGGGCCACCCAGCTTCTGATTTCATGGCAATAAAGCTTCATTTCTCCCACCCTAATCATTGCTTCTTCTCAGGAGGTCTATTTACTTGTGTGAATGGTCATATTCTGTGACAATGATTAGGCTACACTTACGCCTGTGCAGAGTCACTATTTGTCGACAGATAACACATGTATGTTTATTTTCTGCTGCTTTCCTTCTGTTCCTGTTGTCTCCATGCTCTAGTACCAGGAGCCCCATAGCCTGGGCATACATGCTTATCTTGTCTTTCTCCTCTACGTGTTGTGTAGTATTCCTAACTTTAGGCTTGGCAAGAGTTTGGTAGTTGGTGGGAAGATGAAGCCATCTTTGACCTGGACCTAAATTGTAAGTTCCCACCTGGTTTTAAGATAGAATCTTGTACTGGGCTACTGGGCACTGTATCAGCAAAATAATCCTGTGGTTCCCATTGTTTTTGTTTCTTGGGTTTATTGCTTCTTCTAGGACCTCAACCTTTTCCCATAAGGTCTTCAAGACAGCTAGATACAAGAAGTAAAAAGAATGAGTTTCTAACCTAAGACTGTACTAGAGACTCAAACCTCACCTTAATCCTTAATAACTTCCAACAAGTTTTTGTGAAGATTTAAAGAAGCAATGTATGCAAAAGCCCTTGGCATGGTCCATAATAGATGCTTAAGCAATGCTAGTATCCCTGTCTAGAATCCAGCCTTGAATATCAGGGTCTTGCTACTAAGAGCAGTCTATCTACCAGCAGCATCAGGCTTGCCTGAGAGTTTATAAGAAAATCAGAACCTTGGGTGGTACCCCAAACTACTAATCTTCATTTTAACAAGATTCCCAGGTAATTACTAGGCACATTACAATCTGAGAAGCATTGCTGTAGAATATACATGCAGCTTATGCTGCCCTTCCTGTTCCAGCTTCCTGCTTCAGTCTCACAGCCATCCTGCCTAAAGCTTGGATTGCCTCTAGGACTGGGGAGCATATTGTTACAAATGGTGTGCTTTCAAGTTGACTCAGATACTTCTGCTGATAAAGTTTGGAGAGAATTTTGTAGTTGTGAAGGTATCTTTTCCTAAAGGAGATGTGAACTAGCATATGTTGAAGAAACCAATAGAAAGGAAGCACAGGCAGATACAGAAGTCAAGCTCATCTGAGTGTGGCTTGAGACAGGTGCAGAGACAAATCCCCGAGTGCAGAGAGGGCTCGGCTTTTTAATGAGCTAGCGAGTGATGGATGCCTCTCCAGAGGATCCTTTGCTTCCAAGAGGGAAAAAAGTATAATTGAACTTATAGATTGTTCTTTCTACTCTACAGAAATGTGTGTGTGAGCTCTAATGGATAGAAGCTCTATTAAAGTTCCTAGTGAGTTGGGCCAGCCTCTGAGTAAGGGGGGTTATAGATTGTTGGCTTGTACTTCTTATTAATATTCATTAGATTTGGATATTATCAAATCCATAGTGGTCTATTTTTAAATTCCTGAATCTTTTACCTGTACTTTCATGTTGTTTAACTATTTTCCTAGGACTTTTTGTCTTTTTCTATTCTCTTCCTTTTCAAGTTTTTCCTTTTCTTTGTATTAAGTTGTCATAATAAGTTATCCAAAGAGTATTTTTCTAAACATTAAACGTTGTATATGATAACAGCTGAATAAAATGAAATCTCATGCAAGATAGAAATTTACAAAGAGATCAGCGATTGCCAGAGAGTGGAGGAGAGGGCTGATTACAAAAGGGCATGAGAGAATTGTGTCAGGGGGAGGTGACAGAACTGTTCTATATCTTGATTATGGTGGTAGCTACTTGAATGTATGCATTTGTCAAAACTCATAGACCTGAACACTTAAAAAGGGTGATTTCAAAGTATGTAAATTATGACTCAGTAAGAAAGGGAGGAAAAGGGGGAAGTTCCAATCTGAAAACAAATTAAAATAGTTACACTGAGTTCCATAGGAACAGAGGTGGGTGTAGGGGTGGTGGTAGTGTGGTATGTGTTCTTACTTTTTAGAGGCAACGTGCTGTAGCGGTTAAGAACATAGTCATTAGAGCCAGAGGGCCTGAGTTCACCCTGTGAATTACAAAATTCTCTGTTGCCTCAGTTTCCTAATCTGTCAATTGAGATAAGAGCAGTGTCTACCTCAAGGGGCTATTGTTATGATTAAACAACAATGACAATGACAAAAGAGAAGAATGGACACTAAAAATGTAAGGCTTTGCAATGGGAGAAAGTCTTTGATGTTTTTTGTTCCCTCACCTCTCATTGGGTGAGGTCATCCTTGTCTCTGCTGAAAAATATTCGTCATCACAAAACCCCTCCTTGTAACTCTGCCCGGCTTGCCATATCGGGCAGCCACTGCTGAGTAAACGCTCTGGAATAAACCTCAGAGAGAGAATAAATCACCTCTCATGCCATGCTCCCTCCAGGTGAGGACTGAGGTCATTGCAAGAGGCATAACAAATAGTTGACATAATGTACCAAACTAATAGATTCTATAAGGAAAACTAAATGGAAAATTTTTCTTGAGCACTAGGCATCTCTGGCTGAAGAGACAGTGGAGCCAGTGTTATTATAGATGTAGTTAAATCAATAATACTTTTTCATTCTTTTTTTTTCATTTCACAAAAATGCCTATTTTAGCCAGCAAAGAGGTAAGGAGATATTCTCGAGGGCAATTTTTCATGCTCACATGGATTATATTCTGGGATACATCACTCTTCTAAAGAACCCCATTTCTGTGGGTTTTTTTTCCTCTCAGAAATGTATTCAATTCTCTTCCAGCAGCATGAATTCATCCAGAAAGCTATGACAATTAAGTAAATGAGAAAATAGAATGCTTGTAATTATGATAATCAAGCTACTGTATATGAAACCCACCCTCTTTGGTCTAATACCCACCCATCTTTAAGCAATATATTAATTAAGCTTTGGGTAATTGTTACAATTAGAAATAAGCTTCCAAAAATTTTAAAAATCACTCTGAGAGAGGAAAAGGAAATGTTTTAAAAATATATGCAGCTGTTGATTTTTAATGCAATTCATTATCACGACTACATTGTCATTTCCCTGGCTGCATGGAGACAATTCCAGTACTCTTTATTGATGTGACTTCTCATTTACAGCTGGAGAATTTTGCAGGTAGCACCTTTTTTCAGATGTTTCTCTGTTTTTCTAAGTCAGAGGTTGGCAAACTTTTCCTGTAGAGGACCGGATAATAAATATTTTAAGCTTTGCAGGTCAAGAGGCAAAATTGAAGATATATGAAAGTACTTGTATAACAAGCAACAAATTTCCACAGTTTCTGTATTGACAAAATTAAAAATTTAACAAAATAATAATTGAGAGCAATTTTTTCTTTTTTGCAATACACATCTACTACTGAGAAAGTGGAATTCTTACTGTTAGGATAATGTTTTGCTTAGTTGGGGTTCAATGTTAGCATGCCCCATCACTGAGTCGTTGCAAATGTTCATCGTGAAATCATTCTTAGCTGATGGGCAGCAGGCTAGATGTGGTTCACAGAGTGTAGTTTGCCAACTCCTGCTTTAATCAGTGTTCTCTTTAGTGTGCATCAGAAGCACCCAAAAGGTTGATTAAAATAGGTTGTTGAACCTCACCTCCAAGCTTCTGGTGGGGCCCAAGAATTTGCATTTCTAACAAGTTCCCACATGATGCTGATGCTCCTGGTCTTGGCACATATTTTTAGAACTCTGCTCTTGATGTTGGTCCTTTTAAGAAGTCACATTGAATACAAATCCATATATTGCATATTTTCATCGTTTACTCACATATTCAGCTTACCTGACACACTTTGCCTTTCGGAATTCCTAGATAAAAGGGTAGTAAATCCAAAGTCAAATCTCCACTAAAAAGTGAAGACCTATTTAGCTAGATCAGGAATGGTAAGAAAAGGAACTTTTGTTTGTTAAATAGCTATTAGTTTCTTGCTTAGAAAGTCAGGCATCAGCAGTCAGCATCTACTCGTCTGCTGTAAAGAACGGCTGACTAACATTTTTCTAATCTTATCAAACTTTAAAATAGTATGCAATACTGCTAAGGATGTATGTGGGTGAAACCTAAGAATGACAGTTTTGCCTTAGATTTAGCATGTCCTAATTCACCACGCATGTTATCAATATAACGCCCTCCGGATTGGAATTTGTTGGCATGTTTAACCCATAGAATTTAACACAGAGACTTTCCTGGAGCTGCCAAGGGGCAAGCAAGATACCTGTTTCCTAAATCCTGGAGTACCCCATAGCCTGTTAGGTCAAATAATCTCTAAGTTGACTGTTAAGTCACATTGGGCTCCTGCAGATGAGCTCTGAATGGTTTGCATTATTACCTATATTGAGGTTGTGGAGAAGGTCAATGACAAATGACAGGAAATCGACTAATTTTAATGATCACAACTCACCAAAGAGATTCTTTCAGAAAAGAAGCAAGGTGGAAAATGTGTTCTCCTTCTGTTTATTTGTCCCAATGGTTTAAAAAATCAGCTTTATGGAACCATAATCTTCCTCATGACAGATGGGCTTATACATTAGCATAGTGCTTTCAATCAACAGTTTACATTTCAGGAGGAAGGTGAAGAAACTGACATCTTCAGCAGCTATTTGTCATTTTTCAGTTTTATAACATTGATACAAAAAATAGTGTTCTGATTAGCAGCTTGATTGGCAACCCATGTAACCCTAAATCGTACTACAAACCTGGAGAATGCACTTTTACAGACAATTACATTTGGCGAAATAGTATGTACAATTTTGACAAATAAATACATAAATACAATCATTCATATATAACGATATACCTAAAGGTCAATAATCATCAACAAGCATTTCTAGTCAATTACTTCTTCTTTCATTCACAAGTTACCTTGTTGCTTATAAAAACTATCAACACCTTTACAGAAGAAATGACATAATCAATTCCCCCACTAAACCTACATATTAGGAAAGGTAGAAAATGAGTCCCAGGTGTTTTATGTAAATATTCCATTGTCTTTTGATAGAAGAGATTTGATTGAAAAACTCCTTCCTTGGCTTCTCTGTAAAGAGTTTGTTTTCCCCATATCACGCAAAGGGGTTTTGTTCTTCTGAATTTAATCCAAATCGAAATGATCTTCATTTTTTGATTCTGGCTACTTAAAAATACAATATTATATATTGAAACTGGCATTTGCTCCAATATAAGAAGACACAAAGCCACACAAACTAGCCACCAAAGATAAAACTTTTTTTTCCAAAAATAAATTTAAAAAAGAAATGTTAAGACTATAGAGACTGATTGTTGATACCTTTTGTTATTCAATGCACAATGAACAAAAGAGGTGCAGGCACCGTCAGAAGGTTTTGTAAAAATTGTGTGAATGACTCCTGGTACAATATTGTCTGAACCATTATTTTATGTCGGAGAAATGATAATACATTTTAAAAAAATGACAACAAATAGTTGAAACCATAATTTTGCCAGTATCATAAAGTTAACAAAAGTAGAAAATTGGAGCTTTTTCTTATCATTTGACTTAAACATTTTTTGAACGTTCAAAAAACAAAGGTCACACATGCTTTAGTCTATTGAAACACTGGACGAATGGCCTTGCCTCACCAAGCTCCATGCAGATGAAAATCTTACAGAGCAAGCAGATTCTAGCTATACGAACAGTTGAGGAGAAGAAAAAAAAATGCCTTCAAAATATATACATATAGTTTTTGGTGTATATTTACATGTTTGTCACATGGGCACTACCTAGCATAAAAAAAGTTAGGAAATAGTTCTTTAAGATATTCGATTCTCTGATTTTTGCTCCTTTTTAAGATTAGGGCTCTATTCATAATGTACACACACACACACACACACACACATATAAAACAATTTGTAAATGTACATGTATGATGTTTATACTGTGCAATTCCTTGACACTGAAGGTGGCTTGGCTGAGCATAAAGTAGATGCAAGATGGTGGTATGAAACAGAGGCTGGATTTGGCTGCACGAATGAAAGGCGAACCAAATACAAAGTCATGAGACTTTCCCAGTGATCAGAACACAGAGCAGTTGAGGGTTGGGGATTGGAGAGTGGCTCACCTTGTGCTGCTCCCCAGGCTACCTAATGCTATTTTCTAATCAAATTCAGCAGTCCTGCTGAGTGTAAGACAAAGCTATATTAAGGGACGAGAAGGCCTGTCTCATATTGGGTTCTTGGGGCTGGGGATGAGAGATCCAGTGTTTTCAAGAATAGGCCATGACTTCCACTTCTTCATTTTGTCTACCTGTTTGCTATCAACATCTAGGGGAGCTTCCAAGGGTCGGGTTAAAAAAGAAAAGATCTACGCTTTCAGTTGTGGGGCTTTCTTTGAATGAAAACAAACAAGTTTTCTAATGAATTGAATGGTAGACGAGGTGCAGTGTGTGGGTTTGCTGAGTGCCTAGTCTTCTTCTGATCGAGGTGGACGAGCTCTACCTGTCCTTAACGTTCTACTGAGAATTCAGATCAAATGTTTCTTGAGATCTAAGTTGATGTGATACATTTGCAAAGCATGTGCTTCAATTACTGTGCTATAACCCCAGACAGAGGCTCCTCCCCAAAGGAAGGCAGCTGTCTTCACTTCTAGCATCCTGGGATATCAAGGCATTGCACTAAAGTGATAACTTCTTCATTGAAACTGGAAGAAATGACAGAGAAATGGAAGCTTCCCAAACATCTAACTTATATCCAAGGAAAAATCAGTCTTAGGAGAATCAGGTGCACTAATAGTTCATATTTGATCTTTATTTTGGCAGATTTTATATTAAGATGATGTTACTACTACTGATCACCATCCTTGTTAATTATGTAATTATTTTAGCATTTAGCATAATGCATGATACATTGCATTACGTAGCACCTTTCAAACTAAGGATCTTGAAATACTTAGCAAATGCAATTCTCTCACAGCACCTGTGAGGTAGGTGTTTTTTCCAGCCATTTTATAAATGAATATGTTGAAACAGAGCAAGGTTAAGATGTCTGTTCACGACCCAATAAGTATGTTGGCATCAACAGAACCTGAACCCAGGCTTCCCCACCCTTCCTTCCCATGAACCTCAATTACAAGGCCTGTAAAACACTCCTAACAGCATAGCTGCTAGACATACTTAGATGTTTCGGATGTTACAGAGAATTGCATCTATTAGCTGTAGGGCTAAATCCATTTGATAACATTGGTACCCCTTAAAAGAGTTTCTCACGTGCTTTGCAAATGTGTGGGAGGGGCATCTTATACTATTGCTAAGCTTATGGTAATTATAATGCATATTTAAATTTGTATTTTCTCTGTGTGATTTATTCTTCTTCTGGCCTGCTACCAACTTAGTTCTACACATGTGCTCGCCTGAGCCAGAAAATGTAAAATGCACTTAGCGGCATTGTATGGAGGGAGCAGGTGAGATTATATTTGGCAAAGTCTCCTTGGAGGCACCATGTACTGTTTGTTCTGAAAGAGCAAAAAAGAAAAAAAAATTCTCTTTTATTTTGTTAAGTAGCATTTTATATACATTCCACCCACTGACCAGGTTTAATCCTTGGATGAGCAAGCAGAGTTTTCTTCCAAACATACTGAATATTTGATACTCAAGTTTAAATTTCCATTTATTTAACTGCAGCCTCCCTGCCAGTACTAAGTTCATTTCTTGGTGGAATCGCAAATACTGTACACATTACATGGCAATATATGGAAAAATTCAATGTAACAGCACACACAGTATTAATAATCACATCCAGTGTGTCTTCCTGACAGTGCATTATTTCTGAATTGTTTTTGAAAAAGCGTTATTTACTTATTTATTTATTTTTGCAGAGACGATGTGAAGACATTACCGTGAGTTTCAGTTTCCCAGAACCACATTTTTATCTCAGATGCACAGTATGGAAATCCTAGCAGTTGTTAGGAAGTTGTTTTTTGGGATAAATGCAATTCCTTAGGACCTGAGAATGAAATCTGGCCCTTCTAACTCAGGTATTGTTTCTCTGACCAGAGCCTAATGTTTGCAAATTGATAATCCAAGAAAGGAACTAGGAGGGGAAAGAAGAAAACTTTTTACAAAACCCCTTCACCAGTTCATATCCACTGGTGACGCTTGTAAAATACCAACACCCTAGGCCCCATTTCTTAAAAAAGAAAACAAACGTATTTACATCAGTAAAAATTCTAACATCTGAGATGTTTCTTGCTTGACATGTCATTCCAGATTCTGTGCATTTCTTCTGGAGAGATCTGATGCACGGTGATAACTCGGCGATACCTACACAAACTGTAGGCCATTTTCCAGTGATTGAAGCCACTGTTCTGGAAAGGGTGTATGCCCAGTTTTCGAAGACACAGTCCCACATACACATCTTCAAGGTGAAGCAGCCTTGTGTGGAGTGAGGTCTTGTAAATGAGTTCAGCCACATCAGCTGAAAAGATATAGCCAGTCCCCGAACAGAATGGTGGGTAGTTACTGTCAGGGTACAAATCCCTGGGCATATACCATTTACTGCGGACGTCCCGGATTGGCCCTCCATTGATGACATAGCCAGTAAAATACCTTCTTCTTGGCTTGGTGGAGGGTTTTAGTAGTTTATAAATAAGGTTGTCCATGTTTACAAAAATGTCACTGTCTGTTTTCATGACATATTTGGCTTTTGAACAAAAAGTGGCCACCCATCTCATCCCCATTAATGTTTTGAGGGTAAGGTTATGGTAGGAGTCAATGAAGTCCTCCACGATAATATCGTGGAAGATTTGGCTCTCTTGCTCCACCATCTGATTGAGGACAGGATCAGCATTCTTGCCCAGGAGGAAGAGGGTGGCTATCTTGATCCCTTTGAAGTTGTTCTCATCCCCCCAGGTCTCTCGTATTGCCTGGCGGGCATCGAATTCTTTGTGGGTGGTGCTGATGAGGATAACAAGAAAAGGAACATTTTTCTCACACTTGTTGGGTTCATTTATGAGAAATTCAAAAGAATGTGGGTTTATAGGTCGAGTTCTTATATTGCCAAACGTGAAGTTTTTCCTGGCAACTGTTAGGTGGCTGAATGGCTTGGTGCCAGTGTAGGAGGAAGTCGGACGAGTTACACTCAAGTACCAGAGAGCGCTGGCCCAGCACACAACTGTCAAAACATACAAACAGGAGACCTTTGAAGCCATGATCTTGAAAGCACGTCTATTCCAAATATTGAAGAATATGCCTGCTTGGCATTAGTTTCTTTTCATCTTGCAAAGGCAGCATATTACTAACAAATCTTAAAGTTCGATAGAGAAATGTGAGTGCAGAATTGTCCGTGGGTTTTAGTGGCAGTCTGGCATCTCTGCATTCAGTCTACTTTCTTCCAAACCCAATGGAAGATTCCATGCCTCATAAGTCTTCCTCTTAATTCTGCAAAATCAATGAAGTACAGTTGTCGTTCAGATTTATTTAGTAATTTTACATCCTCAAATAAACAAAATAAGGGTATAAGAATTACCCGCCATGACTAAAATAAACATAATCATTCATTTCCATCAGTATTGAAAACTTCCTGACATAACCAGCCTCTCTTTTCTGCCCTTAATAGAAGTTGTTTATGTATATTTATACCCAATTAACAAGTATTTAGATTATACACTCTAGGTGAATATGAAGTAAACTGAGCATTAGGAATTTTAAAACGTTTCCCCGTCTCTACAAGAGGCCTTCTTTGCAATTAAATTCTTTCTGACACTGAAGTTTTCTTTTAAGCAGAAAAGTCTCACGTGTGGCCTCATCTCTCTTTTCCATCTTTCCAAGTCTAGGTTTTTGTTTGCTTGACTGGGGAAGTAACCACTTCTCAACAGCTCTTTGCTGTCTCTAGCACTGTATTTGAAAAAGGGTCGATCCCCACTGGAAAATCTCTGCTAAAATTGTCTCTCTTGGCTCTGACTTAGAAGTAATTCCCAACTTTTCCTCACATTTTCCTTACTTTGGCTCTTACAAAGGTTGGTTCCTGATTCTCAGTTCTCTATGAGGCTTCATATGGAAAATATTCTTACCCTTCAGGTATGGAGACCATCCCTGAGCATCTTTTCAGACAGCTTCCAACATTCATTTTGGAATTAATCTAAATGGTATTGCTGTTTGTGGTTTTCAACAATTCACCCTTATAGTCCCTTGATGAAATTATACTACCCCCTTTTAATTCTTTTTACTTAGTTACATTTGCCTATAAACATAGCAGGAGTATAAAAAGAGAGCTTGGGGGCCACAAATTCAATGAAGATGTGACAGAGCACTTGAACTGGTGTTCAAGTTAAAAAGTTGTCCTTTGGAACCCTAATCCTCTCTAGAGCTTCAGCTGCTATCATGCCAGTTAAAAATATATGCCAGGTTATGAAGTCCATTCATAGAAAAAATGGTCTCTTCCTTTCTACTTACAGCAAAATGTGGTAGTCCCGGAAGACAGAGATAGCAGATAATGGATATCAATCGTGACAAAGCCTACTTCAAAGAAAACTATGTGCTTAAATGTACAAACTGTGTTTAAAGAGTTTAACTGAGATTATAGATTGAAAGTCATGCTCCTAAGCACAATGGTCATAATGAAATGAAAAGACATCATGGGCAACAGCAGAGATAATACACATCCTCTTGTCTAAACCAGGAGTGGACTGTGAATATATGATCTATATGACACCAGCAATAACTCAGTGTGGTTACGGTTCTAACTAAAGGAATATTAGAATGGCTTCAAGCAGCATGACTCTAGGCATAGTTGGGCTTTGTCCAACCCAGAATAAATACTCTTGAAATATAGGCTCCAGTATCCTTGGCCTCCTGGAGGAAATTTGGTGCTCTAAGGTGCACCAAAGTTGACAAAATGGAGGCTGTGATGTGCAGCAAGCTTTGAAACTTCAAACAGTAGGCAAAAGGAAGTGAGAGAAATGAGCAACAGAGAGTTCAGAAAAGGGCTTCCCAACTTGGGATATACAGACATTGACTCTGTTTGAATTCCAAAGGGATGTGAGTGAGTCTCAAGACGGTACTGGAAACCAAACTTTCTCCACTATTGTCCTAGCCTAGCATCTGATTCTTATAAGCCTACCTTTATCATCAGATAGCCCTTCTCTCTTTTCATACTTTCCTGCTAAATTGTGAGCCACCTATTACTAAGCTGTTAAGGGACTCCCAAAATGTGTCACCTGGAAGAGGCACCTGTCAAGTTCTCTTCTGGATCCACTAATCAGGCTATTAATAGAGGATTAATGGTGTATGCAAAGTATTGGAAAAACAGAAATAGAACCTGTATTCCTCCTCAAGGAACTCAGTCTAGAAGTAAAGACTTCAAGTAAATGATTAAAACAGTGGGATAAAATTTTCATCATGAGGCTGTTGGAGTACCTAGGAGAGGTGGGCTGGTAGACAGGGTAGAGGAGAAGCAGGTATAGTCTCGCAGACTGTGCACAGTACAGCTCCAAAGGGCACAATTCCACACACTGCAATGTGGATCCCACTCCTCCATGTCATCTCACAGTAAAACAATGAGGTTGGGGCTGGCCCAGTGGTCGAGTGGTTAAGTTCGCGCGCTCCGCTGCAGGCGGCCCAGTGTTTCCTTGGTTCGAATCCTGGGCGCGGACATGGCACAGCTCATCAGGCCACGCTGAGGCAGCGTCCCACATGCTACAACTAGAAGGACCCACAACGAAGAATATACAACTATGTACCGGAGGGGCTTTGGGGAGAAAAAGGAAAAAATAAAATCTTTAAAAAAAAAATTAAAAAAACAAAACAAAACAAAACAAAACAATGAGGTTGCCTTGGGGAGGATGCCGTGGAAAGTGTAGAAAAGTTATCTACGTTGAGTCATCAAGGACAACTAGGAATTATCTGGATGAGGGTTGGGCACTCCAGCAGAGGCAACAGCATATGCAAAGGCATAAAATGAGAGAGCATGGTGTGTGCTAGGACTGCAAATAGTGGAGCAAAGGAAGAGGACAGGGTGATGCGGAGGACGGTGGTGTTGGTGAGGTTTGGGGCTATCGAGATAGGCAGAGATCAGATGGCGGATGGCTCTCAGAAACTGTTCGGACCTGAGTAGCTGGTTACCCATCTATGCAAGCTAAAGATTGTAAGTGAGGATTTTCCTTCCCGGAGTCCTGTCCACTGATTTCAATAGCAATTCACTCTTCTGTATCAAGGATTTCTTTCTCTCACGGCTCTATGCCCCAAAAGAGTAAGTGAAAATTTGTTTTATCTGATGATTTTCAGTATGATTTTCTGGGGGAAGGGACTTCATAAACACAGGTACCTGGGAGATTTAGAAAGAGCTAAAAGAGGAAGAAATATAAGAGAAATAGGGGAGAACATGAGTAAAGTATGTATTTATAAACACTTTTCTTGGAAGAATGAGCATTCTTTCCTAGACAGCTAACAAACATGATGCTTCTCACCATTGTTACTATAGGGCTCATTTTAAAACGTGTATAGTGCACCAGGCACTGTGCTGCATGCAGTATTCTATGCCATGTATTTTATAGAGCTCATTCCTTACAGTGTTATGAGAGGCATTTTCTCCATTTTACAGATGAGAGAATGGAAACTCAGAGATATTAAGTAGCTTGCTCAACATCACACAGCTAGTGAGTGACTAGGTAAGTAGTCGTCCCAAGCTTCCCAAGGCCTTTTAGGACAACAGGCAAAGTCTTGCATGGGAAAGCCCAGGGAGGCAGGGAGCGTCTCAGGCTGCTATTCTCCCAGGGACCCAGATGTTTATTTTCTTAGATGTGTAACCACTACTTGAATTGTTTTCAAGTTCATTCTAGTTTGCTACACATCGCACTACATGAATTCTGTGGGGATCATTGATCATGAAAAAATGATTTGCAAAGAGCATATTGAAGTTTGAAGATGCTGGGGGCAGAGAGGGGAGAGCTGCAACTGTTGAGGTTCAGAAACACTTTACAGTTCCCTTTCTCTAAAGTCCGGAAACACACACACACACTTACACACTCACACACATGCACTCGTACACTCATACACACATTCACACTCACACATACACACTCACACTCATATGCTGAAAAAAGTGACTCTATTGACTTTTCTTTTTCAGAATTGAGAACAAAAGTAGGCACAGTATTACATTTTGGTCACTAGTAAAATTATCACCAACAAAAACAGAGGATTTGAAACAGGCAAAAAGAATCAGGCTAGAATCTGAAGAGCGGCCGAAGATAAGGCAGAGCTAAAGCAAAAACATCCTTTTTGTTTACAACCAAACAAGCACAAAATTACGCCTCTGGACCAGAAATTCTAATGTAAGTAAAGGCAAGAGAGAGCAGCACGGTGCAGTTAGCCCTAAAGAGTAATTTCAAATATTTTGGATGAAGTAGTTGATAATGGGCCAGATGTCCATGTTTTACTCCTTGAGTAGTCCTAACTTGCTATGCAGCCATCTGTGCCTCAGTAAGCTTAAGTATAAAATAAGGGTTAAAAACAACATTTGCTTTATCTCTAAATACATTATGGGTATTAGTGGTCATCACCAACTGTTTGAGTTTCTGGGGAAGGATGCTAAACAGGTAGGTGGTATTTTGATACAAAGAGCCAGTTCTAATGGGGACGAGGAGATTCTATCAGTTCATGAGTTCATGATTCGGGATCCAGAGCACATATGTCCATCAGTTCTAAATATACAGGTTTGTTGTCAGTTTTTGGTTTAGTGACTACACTGTACAAATTTTCCTGGTAGAGAATTCTGTTTTGTTTCTGGAAAACTCAAAGCCAAAAGCCCGCAGAAAAGCAAAGAAAATAAGTTAGCTCAAAGTCCTGGGGAAGGAGCTGAGTGTCTCAAAGCAGAATCCTCTGGAGGGTTCTTTCAGTTTTACAAGATGAAAAAAAAAATCCTGCTTAACAGACATTAATGTATCAGTAAAATAGAAAGTTGCCCTTATAACATTTGTCATTCCTTTTAGCAGCCCTACCACAACCACAGACACTGATGACACATTAAATTGTCATCCATTAAATACAAATCCCTCCAAATAGAAACATTCAACTAGAACTCTTGAAAGATTCTTCCCCCGGAGGCCTTGCTGTGTCGCAGATTACCTTATTCGCAGCCTCCTTCCATAACTAGCCACCGCCACCTTCACCTTCAGGAAGTTAACGGGGCAGAATTTTCAATTTAAGAAGAACATGTTTCTCCTAGAAACTGCATGGCAGATAGTCTGTTATTATGAGTAATTTATTTTTTAAAAAAAGCCCCTAAATTTGCTAAAGTTCTTCTGTTGTATCGCCAGAGGTAAGTCCTAGGAGCAAGTGGGTAGTGCCTCTTGGGTGAACTGTGCATAATTGAGGGTGCCAAGTGCATGTCCTTCTCCATCATGGTTCAAGCAGGTACAAGTCAACACTGACTCCCTACA